GGGGGGGGGGGGAAAGCGGATTTTTTTGGTTCTTAAATCGGAGAAAATCCGAACAAATCCAAAAAATCTCAAAAAACTCCAAAATCTAAAGTAGTCTTCAACAATATACTCTGATCATATTTTCAAGTGCGTCGAGCATAGGTAACCTGTTTTAAAGGCTGCTACACATAGGAAAAAGGGCGAATTCACAAGATTTCACATCCTTATAAACACAATGGGAATCCTTGAAACCCAAGCAGCACGATGAGAATCCCAGAAAAACGATGCATCCTATAGGAAACCCATAAGTTCTAATGACGAACCCTATAGAAGTGTCTTAAGTTCTCAATGCCTATCCTATGAGAGTATTCATAAGTCATGATCGCCTATCCTATAGAATATCCACAGGCCCTTAAGGACTATCCTATGACGGATACCTATATGTCTTCATGACCTATCCTATGGGGATACAATAAGTCCTCAAGGGTTATCCTATGCGGGTACTCATAAATCTTCAACGCATATCTTATAGGCGTACTCATAAGTCATTATCACCTATCCTATGGGATATTCATAAGTCCCGAAGGGCTATCTTATGGAGGTAACCATACGTCCTCATTGCCTATCCTATGGACGTACTTATAAGTCGTCAAAGCTATCCTATAGGGTACCTATACGTAAATTTGTGACAGCTCCGGTTCAGTTCGCGGGGCTGATGCTGTCTACCAGCTCTTCAACTGAGCTCTTACCAGCTGTGGAACTGGAGCTGTGATGCATCTAAGGTTCAATCCATGTTTGATTAAAGAGGAATTCAAAGTTTAGCCCAATTTGTCAAACGCAATGACCTGGAAATAATACTAATTGTGAAGTAAAACCACTTCATAACGTTCCTCAATCACGTCGAGCTGAAAAGAAGAGTCCACTTTTACTACTTACCGGAAAAATCAAATACACGATTGTTACGTGACCCTTAAACCAGTATTTCATACTACATTAAAATCCAGTTAGTGGATGATGGACGAATGGCGTCCGTATAACAGTTTCGCGCTCTCTGCCTAAAAACTCTTGAAAACCTACGACGACTAATGCTAGATATTTCTTGAACAGTTAGTGGTACCCAGCAGTCTTCCACGGAAGAACTCTTGAAGAAGAAGAAGAACCATAACTACTGTAAGACAGTGCTTGAAAAGTTAACTACACCAAACATCAATTGGCCTTGTGGACTAATGGGTACCACTATAGGATAGACCATGAAGACTTACGGATACCACTATAGGATAAGGCATGAGGACTGATGGGTACTAGCATAGGATGGGGGATGAGAACTTATGGGTATCACTATAGGATGAGGCATGAGGACTTATGGGTTCTTCTATAGGATAGACCATGAGGACTGATGGATACCACCACAGGATAGACCATACAAACTTATTCGTACCACTATAGGATAGGCCATGGGGATTTATGGGTACCCCATACGATGGGCGATCAGAAATTATTAGTACCCCATAGGATAGGCCATTCGGACTGATAGGTACTTCCATACGATAGCCCTTGAGGACCTATTGATTCGGTCGTATGGTAGACCTTCAGAGGCTTCAAGTACATCTCCCTGGGTAGCTGTAGGAAGCTATGAGATAGCTTATATGAAAAGAAGTGGTGATGGTAGGTTGAAATTAATCTAATATCAAACAAAAAAACTGAGGAAAACCTTAAAAACTCAAAACAACCCGAAAAA